CTATATGTGTTCTATAATTGTTTTTCCACTAATATCTTAAAGAAGGTTTTGCATCCAAGTAAGATGGAGTAAACACCGTCTTTTGCTCCCACTGAACCCAACTGTAAACCTGAATGGAGGCTTTACCCATACTCCTAACCCTACTTCTACCCCTGTCCCTACACCTATATCTGCCCTGACCCCACACCTTATCCCTAAACCTAGCCCTTATCCTAACACTCTAACATCATTCAGGATGCCCATAGACAGCTGTAACCAATTTCATGTACTTGATTGAAAGCACCTGTGGATTGTTTTGCTCAATCCAAAATGTAGGAGGAGCTTTCCCAATATTACAAAGTGTTATGGCTAATATCAAGTCCCAATATTACAAAGTATTGTGGATAACATTTAAAACCTTGTTGGCTTATTGAATACATGGAAGGCAGACAGACAGTGGTTTTCTCATCAACTGTATGTATTTGTAACATTCCTGTTTGGTTTTTTAACACAGAGTGAGCTTTTGTAATGTGGAAACTGTTTTGATTTCATGTACTTAAGTGAAAAGCAGCCCGTTAGTTTTATTGAGAGCACAGGGATTTTTCCACGTTCCTACATAGTACCTTTATTAGCAGAAGACAAATACTGCTCCGCTTTTTATGGAGCTGAATGGCACAAAATGCACTTCAGTTGTTGTTGGTGGTGGTGTTAAGTGCCGTCAAGTCGATTCCGACCCATAGCCACCCTCTATAGAGTTTCCGAGGAGTGACTGGTGAGCTTGAACCGCTGACCTTGTGGTTCAAACTGACTTTGCAGTCCAGTGCATTAACCCACAGCACCGCTTCAGTAGATGAAGCTAAAATACTTCAGTGCATTATGAATGTACTGTGTGTTTTCGTAACAATAAAACATATTGAAAGTATGTTCTATGAAATAGAAACCAATGTGAATGAAGGCTCTCTTATTCAAGCACAGGAACACAAGAGTTTAACAGGATACAAATTACAATGTGTGTTAAATGGATGGGAAGGAGCTCTGGTAGCATAATGGTTACAAATCAGGCTGTGAACCTCAAGGTCAGCAGTTGGAAACTACCAGCTGTTCCGCGGGAGAAAGATGAGACTTTCTGCTCCCATAAAGATTTACAGCCTCGGAAACCCTGCTCAGGGTCACTATGGGTCGGAACCGACTTAACGGCACTTAACAACAACAACAGTATGGATGGGATGGTCCCGTGAAAGTCTATGAATGAGAAAACAATGTGTAGACTCTGAATTTCAGTCTGTGATGTTAAAAGAGTTTTCTTGGTCTCAAGATACACTTTCTGTGACATGTTTGGAGAGTTCACAAAACTTTCTGTGTATAGACAACACTAAGCACATTGTTCATTCCATTAAAATATGTCGTATTGAAACAGCATTATACTACATGAAAGCACATATTGTGTAACAATTCATAAGATTTCTTAGTATGTTCTAGGAATGGTAAAACAATGTAGTTTCTCCCTAGCTTCTACACAGCGACATACAAGCGAGTTTTGCACGATAGGAAAGTTCACATTATTTTACATGAACGATGGATACTTTCCAAAAAAACCAAGTGCAAGTTTCCGAGGCTGCAAATCTTTATGGGAGCAGAAAGCCTCATCTTACTCCCATGGAACCACTGGTAGTTTCGAACTGGTGACCTTGAGATTAGCAGCCCAACTTGTAACCACTACGCCACCAGAACTGAAAATTAATGTGAAGCATTACTGAAATCATGAATGTATCTCAAGGGTCTAGTGATCTTCCCTATGTTTGGAATACACAGCGTTTTGCACCTGAAACACTTTTGACATTCTGAAGACATAAAATATTCTAAACTGAAACTAACAAATGCTTTTTGAAATCATGCATGTGGACAACTGTACATGACTTTTGCAGTCTCCACTGTTTGGGGACCCTTCCCTTTGTAACACACAGCATACTTTGATGGGGCATGTGATATTCTTTAGACTTTCTGAAGGTAGTTGTGTGAATCACCCTAACTATGGGTGATGGTGGTGGTGTGCCGTGGAGTCGGTGACTCGTAGCGACCCTGCTTAGGGTTTCCGAAGCTGTAAATCTTTATGGGAGCAGAAAGCCTCATCTTTCTCCCGCGGAACATCTGGTAGTTTCGAACTGCTATCCCTGAGGTTAGTAGTCCAGCTTGTAAACACTAGGCTACCCGAGCTCCTTTGACTGTGTTGTTGTTGTTGTTGTTGTTGTTAAATACCATGGAGTCGATTCCAACCCACAGCGGCCATGTACAGGGATTCCGAAGCTGTAAATCTTTATGGGAACAGAAAGCCTCGTCTTTCTCTTGCAGAACAGGTGGCAGTTTCGAATTACTGACCTAACGCTTGCAGCCCAATTTGAAACCACTACGCTACCAGAGCTCCTTTGACTGTGTACCTGGTGGTTATCATT